GTGCATATAGAACATCAAAACGTAAAAGAATCCCAGATTTTGTCCCAGAGACATAATTTTATAACATGACAGGAGGCTTTGTATTTTGCATAATCTTTCTTTACTAACTCCATAGCAGCAAAGAAAAGAGTGACATAACTGAGAACCAATCACAATGCAGTATAGAGTATAAGAGGTGTAACATATGACATAATTTCCTCTTAAAGCATGCAACATCACAAGATCACAATGCAGAATAACAATTGAGACAACTCATAACATGAAAACTGAACATAAACAGATAGACTCCAAGGGAAGACTTCTTGATGTCAAGTGACGATCTTCCATGACAAGACGATGATGACATCTTGAATGGAGTCTTTAGTGTCTTGATTCATCTGGTTAAACTGAAACGAGAATATAAAGGGTATGACATCATTTCCTCTTTCTTTGCTGCTCCATCACAAGATAAGAACAGATTTTGGTTTACCCTCTCTGTCCTTACACGTCTACTGTATTTCATATCTTATGTTGTAACTACTATTTTACTATTTCTGTTATTATTACCCTTTGGGGGCTATTTCCCTCTATTTTCCCTGGCTCTGGGACCTTTCTTCTGCTTTTCTAGCCCTATCCCTTTTACAGGAGGTCTTACCGGCATTCTCGCCGTCTTCACTTCTACTCCCCAGTGCCAGATCTCTTCGCGGTATTTCCCGCCTTTTACCGTCATTCGCACGTTCTTTTCGCTTCACGAACAGCACTGACTGTCCATTCGCATAGGTTCGTTTCTTTTGCCGAACGGCTAGCGTTCGGCAAAACTCCCGCAAAGCCTTGTATTAGACACTTGCATTTGTTTTGTGCGCTGAACACCCGCACCACCTATTGGCGTTCACGTTCGGCTAATTCGTGTGCACGAACGCCCGGCGTTCGTGTAACTCCTTTTGCCACCCTAACATCTAGGAGAGGTACTAAAACCTCCCCATTTTAACTGCCTTCAGTCCGGCGGCCATTTTAAATGGCTACTACTGTCCTGTTACAGACTCCAGTCAATTATTACTGCCAGATACTCTGGAATACTCTCCTGAACTCTGCATCCTTATCACAGCTCACTGTGGGACCAGTATCAGGTTCGTGCTTTGCACTTGGGGTCAGTTTCAGCCAGTTGGATTATCCTTATTCTGGCAGGGGTGAACCCCCATTCATGTGCTGCTGAACGGACTTGTCCATTCAGAAATCCGAATTCCTGGGTGAGCCCCGGTGACAGCCCTCATCACCTCACTTGACCTACCAGGCACATAACCCTCTCAGGTTAACCATTGCCTACTTCTATACCACCCCCTGGTCCCCAGGCCTCTCCAATTTTTGTGCCACAAGTGCCCTCACGCATATTCACCGGGTAAGATATTTCTGGACAACTCTGGCCTCCAAATGTTCGATCCTTGGAACATTCGCCATCCCCGTTCGGAAGAATGGATGCCACCCAAACACTTGGGTGTTTGACCAGATTCATGCACTTCTGGCTCCGGAAGTCTCTAGACAAGGAAGTGAGAAAGCGTATGAGATCTGAATGTTCTCGCCCAAGCCTACCAGACAAGGTAGCAAACACCCCCAAATTCGACCCGCTTATGACCACATTCATGTCCCGCGGGGGTCAGGACCCATGCAAGGGCGTGGAACGTGGCTTCAAGGGAGCCCAAGACAAATTGCTAGACGCCATCGGGCCATTGGCAAGGATCATGGACATGGCAGATGATGCCTATGAAAGGGCTGATGACTTCACCCCAGATATGGTGCATGAGTGGGCACGGGATACCCGAGAGTGGGCACAGAGGTGCTTCTGATTCCTCGGGAACACTAATGCGCCCCTCTCTTCGGAAAGGCGCGAGCAGCACTTTTCCGAATTGACGACAAGCTTGTCGAACTGGGGGATAAGGAATTGGGCCCCGTGGCACAGGGCAAACTGTTTGGAGAGGCCTTCCTTACTGAGCTTAATAAGAGGGTCAATATACATCCCTCAATAAGACACAAACGTCAATGCAGAAAGAATTCCACGGCCCCAACACCCATGGTGTTTTAGGGAGGGCTGGTCGGCAGAGGGACCATGCCACCAGCCGCTTCTGGCCATCCGGCCCCCGCACAACCAGGACACAGCCATTCTACACGGATTCATCTGCCCGTCATCAATTCCATCAGTTTAGGGGATCGGATCGTGACAGCCGAGGACGCTCCAGAGTGAGATTCTCCAACGCTAAGTCACCATTCTATCCTACCTCTAACCTCTTGCCATATCGCAGGTCGTGTTTCTCTTTTTTTCCAGAATTGGACAAACCTATCCTCCGACACATGGATACTTCGGATGGTGCGGGGCTATCAAATAGAATTCGAGACGACGCCACTCCAACAGACCCCACCATGCCCGATCCAACTTTCACGGGTGGACTGGTATATGGATACTGAGTGAGTTAGTATACTGTGTGTACAATATTATATTATAAATGGTCCTATTTTATAATAATTGTACCCTTGTAAAAAGTAATAAATAGATATAAAATATCATTGATAGGTCATAGTTGATGACCCTCAATAAAATATATGTTTAATTCACCATTAAAAACTGAAGTGCTGAAATGGTTAAAAATATTCAATTTTATTTGAAAAAATCAAATTAAAAGTTATATTAGGCACTCACACTTTGATATCAAACTTCTTGCCCGGTTGCAGTTTTGGAACCTGGTGTATACAGTTGTTGCAGTCCGATCGTCAAATAAATGGAAGAGCTGGCTCTCCGTGAGCCTCGTATGTATCTTTGTTTTCTTCCTTCGTTCGGCAGCAATTTAAATTCCACTAGGTAATCTTGTTACTGATGTGTAACATGTAATAGTTGTAATCACTAGGACAGTAGGTGAGCAGGCTCTCTGTGAGCGGCGTGCGTGTCACAGTTCCTGCGTTCCAGGGCAATAAAGTTGATTTGCGATAGGTGCCAGAAAGCAATGAATGTCGTAAACAGAGTTGTCCTTACGCGTTTCGTGAGAAAAGTCTCACTTCATCCTCTGATGAAGTGAGACTTTTCTCACGAAACGCGTAAGGACAACTCTGTTTACGACATTCATTGCTTTCTGGCACCTATCGCAAATCAACTTTATTGCCCTGGAACGCAGGAACTGTGACACGCACGCTGCTCACAGAGAGCCTGCTCACCTACTGTCCTAGTGATTACAACTATTACATGTTACACATCAGTAACAAGATTACCTAGTGGAATTTAAATTGCTGCCGAACGAAGGAAGAAAACAAAGATACACACGAGGCTCACGGAGAGCCAGCTCTTCCATTTATTTGACGATCGGACTGCAACAACTGTATACACCAGGTTCCAAAACTGCAACCGGGCAAGAAGTTTGATATCAAAGTGTGAGTGCCTAATATAACTTTTAATTTGATTTTTTCAAATAAAATTGAATATTTTTAACCATTTCAGCACTTCAGTTTTTAATGGTGAATTAAACATATATTTTATTGAGGGTCATCAA